TGTAGAATCTTTCAAAAGTGAAGTATCACCCTCAAGCAAATCCAGTAGAAAGAACAAGGTTTTGAAACCTAGATTAGCTATACTTGTGGGCGATAAACATTCTTCTTGAGCAGAAAAGCTTCCGACAATTAGTTTTGCAATAAATACTCATAAATGTGAAACCTTGGCCAAACTACTGCATTCTTCAAATTTGGTAGCCAGAGAGGGGAAGATGTAACAGGACTATTTAGTGGTAACCGAACTATTTTATTGAACGGTATCTAGTTGCGAAGAGGAACAATCTAAGACAGTCGACCTCCAGCCACAATGATGTTAGGTTATCCTGTATTAGATGTCTCTGTTATTTGAATGTTTAATGTTCCATTTGGTATATGTTTTATTTTTATGTACACTGCGGAAAAAAATGAGACAGCTCTATATCTCCTGTTCTACTGGCCCAATTGACGAAATTCAACTTGCGCTTTCCATGTCTCGAAAGTGCGACTTAGGATATGTATTCGATTTATGTATAGCACTGTTCTAATATAGGTATTTTGACACAAAATCGGACTTTTTTTTTAAATAACATACCAATTTTTTTCCATATTTCAATTCTACAACTCTCAAATTACGCCAAACTACCAAGTTTTGTAAAAATCGCACGAGTAGTTTTTAAAAAATTAGCCATCAAAATTTTAGCTCCTCATTGTTAATTGAGTTTGGTATATATTTATTAACCTTCACGCACACGCGTATGCGCAAAATTTACGACAAATTCAGTTTTTAATGCCCATTTTTAGCATATTGAAGCTGAGATGTCTGAAGGTCATTTCTATTCCTCCTTTCTACCCTCCCCCACTTCATGGAATGTGCTAATAGAAAGTCATTTGACTTTTTTTTTTTTTTTTTTTTTTTTTCTGGGCTTTTGTGCTACGTGGCAGCTTTTTTGTAAAGTTTACGACACGCGCATGCTCGTCGGTGAAAATTTGGAAAATATTTTTTCTCAAATATTTTGTGTTATTATTGCCTTGTATTATTTTAAGTTGAATACATTTGGCTCTGTAAATTTTATATCTGTTTTCATGGCGAAAAAATATGTGCAACCAGCTGATTTTGCTCGCATTCTTCAGAATTATCTGATGAAGAAAAGGGAAGACAAGGAAACCTTTGGATGGGAGAACAATAGCGATTTCCTTCCCCATTTTTTTTATTTATTTTTTTTTAAATTTATTTTTTATTTTTTAGAAAAAATAAAAAATATTAAAGTTAGTTTCAAGTGCGTTTTTGTAACCAGTAAGAAGTAAATTTCCTTGCAGAAGTAAGTAATGGCTAAACCTACCTTTCTTCCTACCAAGGTGTTTTCCGTTTTTATTGTCTCTACTTGCCTTTGATGTATTTTAAAATTAGGATTTTAAAATATAATTATTAAATAGTATATTTAAAATTTTCTATAATGAAATACATCATTGCATTTTCATCTCACTAACATAAAAACTTAAAAATAATTTACTTATATTTGAGTGTGATACCATTTGTATTTTGGGTTCTTTACCGTTTCGCAGGCGCAAATCTCCCCAAGCAGATTTTGTTGGCGACAACATACAGTATACTCATAAAAAATGTTAACAAACGTTAGTTCTAAGAGTTTTTTTATTTTGAAGGCATAAATATTTTAATATAGTTTAAAATTTTGTAAAAAAACCAATAAATAAAGACAATAAATTTGTAAAAAGACATTAATTTAATAATTTACTATGCTTTCATTTTTCAACATCTTGATTTGCCGATTCGTATCACGTGACCCCAAGTGATCTCATCTCACGTAAACTACGCTACAAAAATCTCATTCTCTCAGTAATTATCTAAATTAATTTCAAGTTAAATCTTAATTTCGAATACAAGTTTAAATGCAAGAATTATTTCAATAGCTTACTCAGAAATTATGTAAAACCGCAGTGCTTTACTTCACTAGTGCATTCTCATTAGAATTGATGAATTTAACTCTTGATTTTACTTTTTCTATATTTTCGCCTTCGGGTGAGCGCTGTGATTGCATCCTAATCGACTTACTACAAATGGCCTTACGAAATAAAATTGATATATTTGGTAAAAATTATATTTAATTGTATGCCAGTATTGAAAGAAACAGTCAATCTGATAAGAGATGGCTGTGACTTGTTTTGAAAATGAGGCGTAAAAGGTTACCAGCGAACATATTCCGTTTGGCATCAGTTGTAGCTTTATTGACAATTTTGTCGTTTGCGCCGGGAAAACAGAAAAGTACCATATTTTGCAATAATAAGATTAATATTTTATTTCTTAACAAATTTATTATCAATATTAACTCATTTCTATCGTTTTTCATGCCAAAAACGGTAGTCGTAAAAAATACGACGCACGTGCGCTCATCTAAAATTGCCCAGCGCGCTTGCTGGAAGGTTAATCTCTCTCTTTTTACTAATCTTATTTGATTCTTCCTTTCACATTTCGAAATTCAGGTTCATTCCAAAGAAAATTCACCCATTTTTTATGATTTATTAAAAAAAAATTTGAATTATAATGTATAAAGTTTTTACCATTATCTTAAGTTTGACGTATTTCTAAGCATACCTGCAAAATAATTACAGTTTTGTATTCAAAATTTTTGAAGATATACGTGAATTTATATATTGGCGCGTTTTGAAATTTGGCATATTTGTTGAAAACGATAAAACATCAAATGAGGTTTAGACACTTTGCTAAAATTATTTGGAAGAAGATACGATGTGATTTCCGCTCATGCACAATGTGAAAAGATAGGAACGAGGTGCCTTTTCTGTTCCGGCAAAATGGAAGGGAAAGGAAAATTGGTTGCCACATATTAAGAATTTCGCCAAGTGGATTATTCTTGCCGCAACCTCAAAAAATTGGGCCAAAATAAATTCTTGAATTTCTCCGTAAATTTTGCGCCAAATTTTATAACATTTAATATCTAGGCATAATTTGAGTCGTAGAATCGAAATATGGAAAAAAATTGGTATGTTATTTCAGAAAAAGTTTGATTTTGTGTCAAAATACCTATATTAGAACAATGCTATACATAAATCTAATATATATCCTAAGTTGCAATTTCGAGACATGAAAAAAGCAATTTGAATTTTTAAATAGGCCCAGTAGAATGGGAGATATAGAACTGTCTCCCTTTTTTTTTGGGGGGGGGCGGCTTAGTGTATGTTTTCTTTGTACCCATTCCTGTGTGCTCTGTTAATAAATACTTTTAGCGCTAGCTGATGTTGGTGTTCATTGAGGTACGGCCACAATATTTTATTTCTTGTAGGTTTAGTTTAGTATGTTTGTATAAAATACAAACTTATACATGAATTTTTTTTAATAATTCGTCTTATTTTAGTTATAGAGGTGTGACCAAATTAATGCTATTAAATTGTTCATTAATTCAGTAATCAAGTATACAAATAAAATGTAAAATTAAAAACAAAAGTTAGCTTCCAGCCATAGAAGGAATTATTTTACCTCATGGGTTATTCTACAGTATTTACATCCTAATCATTTTAAAAATTAATTTCGGAACTATTTAAAAAATCATATCTTGATTCTAAGTTAGAAAATAATAATCTCTAGTTTTAAATATTGCAGTCATTTTTTTTATTATTATTTTTAAGTAATTGAATAATCATTATTTCAAATAAGAAAAGCTTCATTTATTTGGATATTCTAATAGAAAAAGTTCAGTTGAAAAAGTGAATTAAGAGTTTTGTTTAGGTTTTACTAATGAATAGCCAAAGAGATTGTAAGACAAAGCTTACAAAAAAAAGTATAAAAAATTTAAATACAAAGGTCAACATTTTATTCCTTCTTCTAATTTTGTATTTTTAAAATTTAAATTGAAAAAATACCTAAAGTTGAAATAAACTGCAAAACTAATGGGAGCACCATTTGTCTTTGTTAAGATTCTGTTGCCAATGTTAAATTAACAATAGTAAAATTTCTTGAATTCTTAGCATAGTATCATTTTATTACTGTTAGCTTAATAAAGATTTTGTTTTGATTGGATGAAAGATTATAGTTTTACTTGTGCTATCTGTTTATGTAAGAATCGTGACGAGAATTGATTTTGGAAAGATTCACTTCAGAATGATTTGATATGAGGTTTCAGAATTACTGTTTTCATTTGTGTTTATATTCAGAATTATTATTTTTAGAATTAAAAAAGGAAATTAACAAATTAAAAAATAAAATCTGAACGCTTTCAGATTTTACATTTCACCCAATGGGGCATTTTTTTAACATTTTGTGTGTTACCTTTATTTATTAAATATCATGATCTTCAGACTTAAACCATAAAATTCAATTCAATAGCAATATCTCAAAATAATTTTAAAACGAACGTATCTTTAAAATTTCCGATACACAGTCTCGTGCTTGGAGGTGTTTTTTTTTTTTCTTCCCCTGTACAATATTGCCATTACTCGCTTTAAAATCATTGACTTTGTTAATCAAAAATTCGTTAAAGTGTTACAAGATATGAAATCGATAATAAAACAAATTTCAAATTACAAATACGGGCTTCCAAATGCCCATATTCAGTGAAAGATTAAATTATTCAAAATTTAATGGCCCTAGGTACCGTTGTTTTATCACAATGCAAGAAACATATATACATTTATGCAGATTCTTCATTATTTAATTTCTTTAAATATAACACAGGGCTCTAATATTTGGTGGCAACAATTTGAAAAGTGAACTGACATTTATAGTAAACCAACCCAAAATGCCAAAACAAAATTAATAGTCCTTCTTGGGCTAAAAAAGACGGGTCTATTGCAAATTAAATTATAATAAAGATAGAATTTTATCTTAAATACATATTATATACTGTAGACAAAAGCAGATCTCATTTTAAGTAAAAATTCATGGAGGGCTATTTAATTTTATCAACAATAGAATTAAATCTTCTGATTAATGAAATATATTTATTTTTTGAATTCTTTTATGTTATAACATTATGTTTTTTTGTTTTCCAGGGAACTCTTAAAGACTCGCTGTAGTTTGCTTGAATTGAAATTAAGCCTGGTAGCTGAGAATGAAGAGTTTGAAAAATATCTGAAGAACTATAATGCCTATGTGTATTTATGATCTACTAATCTTCATGCTAATGTATTTATTACTGTATATTTTTTTCTAAAATGACTGTTGAAAATAAAGCATATATGTTTCAAACGTTTTATTTACATTTCTAGGGTTGCATAACATTTTTGAAGGGTACAAATTGAATTTTCAATTATAATTAGTAAAATGTCAAGGAAAGCAAAGATGGAGAGAAATTTTTGAGGTTGTTGGGAACTCTTAGATAGCAGAAAGGTCCAAATGATGCTGCTAAACCCTCTCATCTGGTAGAAGTGAATTTGTGACTAGGCAGTTCCTCTCTGACAGCCGTCTGTGAAACATCAAAGTGATCTTGCTAATGTCACATGATACTGGCTAACTTTCAAACTAGCATACTTGCTGTCACTGTGAAATTCTGATTATGATTCTTTGATTGTATTGAATGACTTACATGTGATGTTTATCTTTATTTTTGCATGTGTGATAAGCTAATTTATTTTTTTAGTCTATTTAAAGTAATGGATGTAAAACCAAGCATACTATCTTCATCCTTGCATTAACACATATCTTTGTAGAATGGTGACTCTAATCTCGACTAAGGTGAGACGTGACATTGGTGAACCGGAAATTCCTACCATGTGTCTGCATCTACTTGAATTTTTAGTTTTTATACCTAAAATATGTTGTAAACTGCAAAAAACATCTTATAAACAAAAGTTTATCATTGATTTTGCAACTTCGATAAAATTGTGCACCAAATCATAGTGTTTGCTTCCTCAAAACATGCCTACAGAGGATGTGTAAAGCTTGTGCTACATGCAACAAGGAAAAAAGTGTTTGTTATCTTCCAAAGTGAATATATCATATGTAGTTGACTGTCGTAGTCGTGCCGAGGCAGATACGAATCATTGTATTATATCGTAGCGTGGGGTTCTTTTGCTTCACACATGTTACTGTCGATCGACGCATAGATGACACCCATTTTTTTTTTGTTTGTTTGTTTGTTTGTTTGTTTAAGTGTAAACTTTAATAAGTAAACAATTCTTGATGATTATACATTATAGGTACAAGCATGAATATGTAAGTCCGGCATTTTCACCGCCGGATGAGAAAAACAATCTCTGCCTAATGACGAGACATGTTCTTAATGAGAATAATGTCTCTTCTCCTCATCGGAAATGAGCAACAAATTGATATGCTGGTCATCTACAAAAGAGAAAATTGTCAGTCAATAAAACAGTTCAACAACGCAAGAAAAAAAAATATCTGTTAAAATTTACAAAATAAGGGTAAATTACCGTTTCGACTCTTGGTAATCCGAAGAGGTAAAATCTCGTTGTTTTCTCAGCCGAACACGTTGATCGATAGATTGTTCATCTTTTCGAACTTGTTGAGCTGGTAAATGGGGGTGGGAAAAGACAGGCCATCCGCATTGATTTCTCCTTCATAAGGCTTGTAGTGAGATATCCTGTATGGATGATCATGAAAATCTTCAACGGGATGAAGGGCTGCTAACACACTCCAGACAAGACATTTGTGGTCCTCATTCTGTATGTTGAGAATAGCCTTCTTATTAGGTAAGGCTTTCGTTAGAGGTATGTAGGAAGAGGCTGCCAGGGGTTTGTAGACAGCGGTCTTGAGCTCCAGATATTGGACAGAGTCTAAAACTCATACTGAACCTTTTTTCAGAAATTTGTCCAAGGAATCCAGTACCTGTAAAACATTTTATGAGTATTACTAATTTTACACACATTTTAAAACAAATTAAAATTCATATGAAATTAACTTTCTTACCTTTTCAATAGCTGCTTGCATGTCGGGCATTTCTCCTGTGAGCGTAGTGCTTGCATCTGGATCGAAAGTAAGGGGTGCATGTCTCCTCCTCGGTCTCTGACACTTTTCTCACAATCTTCACACAAACATTCAAGTACCATTTGATACCTTGGTGCTGTGTGGCAGCTTCTTGAATCTTTCCCGCAACTTCAGTTCTTGATGACTCTAAAAAACTTGTAAGTCATTCTTGGTGTCTTCACTAGGATAAATGATTTCCGTAGCAAACGTACCAAGGCAGGGTGGACGTTCTTGCCGTGGTCGTTTAGGGACAGGCAGGGGGAGCTGCTCGTTTCACTGCGTGAGATGGTCCACGCTTCGGTGATTTAGCATGAAACTTTATATGATTATCTAGTTTATCTGAGCGTCGGAAGATCTTTTTACATATGGATCAAATGTATTTACCTGCCGAATGTTGCACGTTAATATGCCTTATTAAATTATTCCGTTGTGTAAAGGTTTTATTACACTCCGAGCAAATTAAATTTGGATTATCAACGAAAGGCGAATCCAATTGGGATGGCGTAAGATTGCCAAAATCCATGATGGCAATCGTTTGATCATCCAGAGGCATGTCTTTATGTTCAAAAACATACTCAGGATCCATCTAAAAATATAAAGTATCAAAATTAAGTATCATAATTCAAAAATTCTCGAACGGACAACTTTTAAAAAAGTAAATACTTACGTTGGCTTGTGTCTGAGAAGCCTGTGATTTAAAAGCATAGCCTCAGATATATGTTTCATCAGAAAAAAATATTAAACAAATAAAAATGAACAGGAAAGTTAAAATAATAATAACTTAAAATAAACCTACTTACAATAATAAAATAAAAACAAACTCATTTAAAAATATATTGCAGCGTTAAGTAGAAAGAACGCAAAGGGAAAGCGATAATATTTACATGGAAACACGAAATAACGTTAATTTAAGATTTACGTTGGGAAAAAGAAAACATGCTGCAGATAATTTAAGAAATGCGATTAATATTTACATGAAAACATAAGAGTAACGTTAAGTTAAAAAATATTTAACGAAGAAAATTTACCTTAGGTATCATATTTTGCTATAATCTCAATAAATGTAATCTACAAATAAGAGCGAAAAAATACAGAATAAAAATTAATGTAAAAGAGGTATCGAAAATGAATGACTTATATTAAAACAAAATGGGTTCAACTAAAGTAATCACAAGGAAAAATCTGTAAGAAAAATAAAGAAGACATGATAAAAACTTGTATAATATCTAATAAAAATAACTATTAATATCGAATACATGAGTACAAAAACGAACATAATCTACTATAAAAATAAATACGTACCTCGAATAACACGACTGGATTCAAACAGGAAGGGCGAAAGCAGGAGCGAAGCATACAGCACGAACGCAAATGATGAAAAACCAAGTTCCAAGTACCGCTGGATGCGCCGCTGATTAACTTGCAGGATTGCAGTTGTTCGGTGTTGATTAGTTGCTATAGAGGCGAAAGTAGGAGAATGCATGAGTGGACCCAGTAGATGCAGATTGGAGGCGTGATACTGTACGGAGGTGTGAAGAAGTCGTAATACGTTGCGATTTCAGGTTAGAAATGTGAGAAAACTTGTTCGTTTCCACTGAGTATGTAAGCTGCGAAAGGTCGAAGAAATCGATCATCGGTGAGAACTTCATAATGAAACATGTTGAAATGATTCATAAAGTTACATTCCTGCGCATTTTTGAAGAATTTATCGTTAAGTTTCCGCAGATGTACCGCGATGGTATCAATTTTGAGGTCCTCATGGAGGGTCTTGTTGCGGACATAATAGTGTGCGTTCGTGATAATACGCAGGAGTTTATTTTGAACGATTTGGAGTTTGTTACATCTGAGTCTTTGGCTGCCGCCCAGGCAGGAGATGCATAAGTCAAAATAGGTCTAATTGTGGAGAGATAAACAAGTCTTTTCTTCCCCAAATCCATTCTAGAGTATTTACCGAGTATAGGAAGCAAACACTTGATAATTTGTAGTGCAGTGGTTCGAACATTGTTGATATGGTCAGTCCAAGGTAAGACGATCATTAAGAGTGACTCCGAGATATTTGGCACTTTTCACTATAGGAACTCTTTCATTAAAGAGGAGAAGGTGATTCTTCAGTTGCTTATTTCTTTTCCTTCTGCGAATGATCAATAATTGAGATTTTTAAGCATTAATCTTCACTTTCCAATTTGCGCACCATGACTCGATACTTGGAATAAAGGCTAGTAGTTTCTTAATAGCGAAGTTAATGTTCGCAGACTTAACTGCCAGGGCAGTATTATCTGCGTAACATGCAAGGATAGAGTCGTTACTGTTGGGTTTAGGGAAGTCTGCAGCATAAAATAAATAGAGTACAGGGCCTAAACAAGACCCTTGAGGTAGTCCACTTTGCATATTACGTTCTGAGGAGTAAGCTCCTTTCACGTACACTTTAAAAGTCCTGTCCGAGATGAATGAGAGGATGATCAGAAGAATTTCTCTTTCAAAATTAAGGTTGATTAGTTTTGCAATCAGTCCCTCATGCCAGACGCGGTCGAAAGCTTTCGCTACGTCCAGCATGAGGATAACAACATTCAATTTGTTATGTAAAGCAGCTCCAGAATACTCCGTAATACGAAGAAGTTGTTTTGCGCTCGAGAGCTTCTCTCTAAAGCCAAACTGCTCCGGCGGAAGAAGTTGAAGATAATTTTTCATTCGGCTGAGAATAATTCTTTCAAATATTTTACTTAATACAGGCAGTAAACTAATGGGCCTGTATCCGTCAGCTTGTGAGTGGTTTTTTCCAGGTTTTGGTATTAAGATGACCTTAGCAGTTTTCCATAATTTGGGGAAGTATGAGGATGTAAGGCAAGCATTAAAAATACTTGCTATTATTCCGATAGTTTTTCTGGGAAGGCATTTCATAGCTTTATTTGTGATGCCATCTATTCCCGGTGCTTTCCTGGGATGAAGTTTCTTGATAATTTCTTTAATCTCAGCTGGGTTGGTGAATTTAATTAAGTTTCTAGCAGTGGGGGAATATAACCAGTCTTTGACATGTGTCAATGTGCTATGTTCAAAGTCCTTATTATTTGGCCATTCATTGGGTGTAAATTGTTCCTCTAGGTAGGTCGCAAACACATTTGCTTTATCCTGATGAGTGACTGCGAGAGCTCCATTATGGGTAAGAGGGCGATTTGTAGTATAGTGAGATTTAAGATTCTTAATTAATTGTCCATAATGACCCATCTCTAGTGTCAATATTAATTAATTTCTCGCACCATAATTCT